GAGGCAGTATGGTATAGTAATGTATAATATAGATAAGAAATAAACCGAAGTTAAAGATAATAGTAAATTAAATGTGTAGTGACGTGATAATAAAATTATGACAGAACAATAATTACAAAGTAATATATTATAGCTTGCTTTGAAAAAATCAATAAAATTAGGAACGATCTTTAGCGAATCGGCCCACACTTGTCGTGGATTCAATTGGGATTTTTTAGAAAGCGATGTGCCGTTCTGTTCTTTTTTCCATTTTTTCTTATTTTTTATCTTTCACGAAACGGATCGATTTCAGCGAGCCATCGAATTGGTGTTGATCTGTAATCGTGTGACTCGATCGGTTCGATTAGCAATTAGTCAAGCGACGAAGATGAAAAGAACGATCGAGACACGCTATGACCCGGTTGGTTTTTTTTTCGGCTTTTTCGCTCATATTTTTTTCACTTTTATTCCTTCAATTTTTCGCTGTAGTCCAGTACTTGACTAAATGTTTATCCATTCATAATAAGGTGTCTGAAGGTGTCTCTGAAAACTATAGGAGTACGTGAACGCATTAGTTGATGCATCGGTAAAGAGTGTACTACCGCTAAAAATATCAAGGTGAAGAAGGCAGTATTCCTTGTAGAGTACGCCATGCATTCGCCCTTCGTTCACAATCGTAGTATTTGAATGCGCATTTTTCTACTTCATGCATTGCTTAGGTAATCTGCAAGTAGAGCTTCCGTCGGCCCAGACTGCCCTATCATAGCTAATAAACACCAGAGGTGATTGCTGTACTGAGATCAAGATTCCTACCTGATCCTTGTTGGGCCATGTTCGCGATATTAGGCCGGAAGTCCCTAGTTGAACTAGATCAGTGAAGCCTTTAAACAGTCCGGGGAGGTTAATTGGCACCATTGTCGTTTGAGAGGGTGAAATCACTGAATTCTCCGTCGGCTGACCTCGAAACTCATTGTTTGGGCCAAACCTCCCTCAGGTGCTGTCACGATTCTGAATGAAATCAGAATACGTGGCGCGATTGATCGACGCGGAATGCCTTACCCTTCATCTTTTTGGAGCTGTAAGGGCTTTTTCTCAGGGACCTTCCTCCTTCATTCAGAATCGTATAGATCTCCCTTATGCATGCATGGCAGCCCCTAGGGCCTTATAAATTGACGGCTCTATTTCTTATCGTCTCGAAGGCTAGGTTGAAGTATGAATGGGCCATTAATCGGATAACTGCACCCTAACTAACGCCTCTGTTGTTGTAATCTCGAAACGCGTCTTACGGCGCAATACAAGAGTGAAGCGCTGTTAAGCGCTTTTTGAACGCTAAACGCCTAGTTTAAACCTTGAAGACGTCCTCGAATCGATGACTGGCGCGTGGAACTTCAAGTTTTTATGCCTCCGAGAACTCGATGAAAACCGAACCTAAGCCACTAAATTTCCTCCGTACGCACTTTTGTCGCCGTTTTACGTTTTCAAACAGCGCCCGTCAGAGTCTTCACTCTGCTTATCGCAAAGCATATCCCAACAAGTCCTACTGGCATCCAACCTTGATTCTTCTGTCTTTGTGCATAAATTTGTATCATTCTTCCTTGAATGGCAGGATGTTTTTCCCTTTACATCAAGATCATGCGAAAATTGCTGCTGTCAGTTTGTTTGTATCTTTTGCACCTATACTCTCTATCCATTTGGTTTAAAAACACCTAGGAAATTTCAGAAACGAACGGGACTTCAACGATGCGTTGCTGATTGCCGCTGAAAACGGAGGTGTGCGGGAATTGAACGAGCTCAGCATGGCGCGTGGTTTCCCAAATCTTCGAAATAGAGTGGGTTTTTAGAAAATCTGGAGTTTCAGCTTTGAAAACTGGTTTTGTGTCAATAAATTAATATATTAGAATAGATGTATTCTTGATCTGATTTTTTAACTGGCATGTTTCAGCAAAAGGAAACCGCCGCTCATGTGGCTGCCGGAGCTGGTCATATTGAGGCACTGAGTTTTCTGACCGTCAAAGGCGCACAGCTTTCTATGGAGGATGAACGAGGTTCCTTCTTGTCTTTGTGAAGCTCACTTCTGAAAATTTTCAACTTTTTGGTACCATAATGAGGTGTAAGAACTGTGAAACGCGGTGGTTGTTGGAAGAGGCTAGGAGCTGGTCGCTGAAAATATTAAATCGTGGTACAAACATTAGCTGTCAAATCTCACCCTCGATGGTACTTGTGTAATTAGTAACACGGGGACGTGAAAATTTGACAGTGCATTATAGTGAACCCTCCAAAGGTTTCTAACATCACCTAGTTCACCTACTAGATCAGACTCCATCAAAGCGCTTTTTTACACTTTCATGTAGACTGACTGAGACTTACTTCCATACGACCAAGGTGGTGAATGGGTTGAGCACTGGTTAGCACCAAATAAGTGCTTCATGGAAAAAATCAAATATCTGCCTATATGTATATAATAAATATCTGATCTCCGATCAAAAGTCGAGTAGATGGCACATCCAAAGGATCTGTTCTTGCCAGAAACTTTGTCCTTTCACATGTTTCCTTTACTTGAAAATGAATCGCAAGATCAATCTCAGATGTAAGAAATAGCTGAGACGTTCGCGAGTATGGCGATGATTCACAATCTGGCGGATGATCTTATCGTATTTATGAAACAGCGACAAGTGGAAGATGCCTGCGCATATGTTATGCATCTGTGTAGGGAGGCATGAATCGCTTCCTATGAATTAACAGATGGGTGGGCAAAGACCTTACAATTTTGGGTGAGAGAGGGCAGGAATACTGGGAACCATCCAGTCGTTGCAGAAAGCATCTCGGAGTCGTTCCTGATTTTTTTCCTAGGAAGGGTTTCAAAGCCTAAACACCACCCTTGATCATTTCGCCTTTGCGATCCGTCATATTTAACGCTTATTTTTATAAGTGAAGCAATATCGGCGGCCTCCTTATACCACGAAACTGGTTTTATTATCCCTCCGGTTTGAAAGAGCCCCGAAATTGGAATAAATGGGCCCCGGCTAGCGTAACTGTAGCGCACTTGTCCGAAAACAAGCGGTGCGGGTTCGATATCCGTTTGAGGCGAGTTTTGCCTAACAACACAGCATTCTGTAAAATCTATCCACATTGTAACCAATTACAGCGATACAAAACAGCTTCTCGGAGAAGGAGTGGGAGGGAGGAGGGGAGGAGCCGTGCGATATCCTGAAGTTTAAGGAGCCCAGTGTGGTCCCTATCAAGTTACCCTGAGAACGAAGTAAAAGGGAGGTCTGAATGCGACGCTGATCAAATCCTGCAGAATGCGCCACGCATTTTTCTCAATGTCAGAATCGTGGTGACATATAAGAGCAAGGAAAGCCTTCGATGACAGTTGATGTAAACTTTGGTGCTTCCGTACTCGAAAGAGGACATTACCATTTGACTGTATTTTGACGATGGAGGTTAGGTTGGTATGGGCGGGTTATTTCTGGACAGGGTATACCCACGTTGTGCCTCACAATCCCCATCCTCTCGGGGAGTCCTGCCACGACCCTACCAGTACCACCAACCTTGCCGGAGTACCGTAAAATGAACCCCTCATCGTGATGCTGTTTCTTTGATTCTAAGGCCAGTGAACATACTTATACCCCGCCTCAAATGTCCCTGCAAAAGTCCCAGGAGAGGCAGGACACATGCCTGAACAGATGAAAACTGCTCCAATTTCGAGACTATTCGTTTGAATTGTGAAAACTCAAAATAATTTCTCTCTCCCTCTTCTTTCCGCCGCAACACCACCCAGGTCACTCCAATCACCAAGACCCGTTTGAAAATCCCTAATATGATCCCCCTTGCCGCTTAATAGACAAAAATCTTACATATGGCTTCCCATCTAAAACTCCCAAATACGACCGTCCCCGCCGATCTTCGCTAAATGGACAAATCACCCTGTGCCAGGATTCAGTTCATGGACTGCGCTTTGACCGCTTTGCTACAGGGCGCAAGAAAAAAACAACTGAGCACAACCGGTAATCCCTCGATTTGCAATAATCAACAAATTTCTCTGATAACTCCTGGACGGTCAAAGTAAGACTACTCTGCTGAATTCGTTTCCAGGAAGTCCCACTGTGGTGCATTTTGCAAGGAGGCGGAGGGAATACATAAATCGTCCCATGAAAAATGGCCCCGAAATCAGAAAATGCTCAGATGAAAAATTACCCAAAATTATTCGGCAAAACCGGCTTTTCACATCGATTCTGGAGATTGATAGGCCGTTTGTTATGAATTCAATATGCGGGATGAAATACAAGCCGCGTAAAAAAGCACAGAATTTTCCGGAAAAATTATCAGAAGGATTGTTAGGTGAAGGGGTTCTCTTTCGGTGCCAGAGCAGAAAGTTTTCCTATTCGGCGGTAGCCGTTACGCGGTCTTTTTCAGTGGGCGATTAACGACATGTCGTTGTGTCGATAACGACCCATAAAATGATCCATTCAAACAGAATGGCCACCAAAGGAAACGCGATCGGACGGAAGCGCTAGACCAACGAAGTATTACTTCAAGTTACTTCTAGCGACAGATGTGACACAGTGGCTGCAGGCGCCATTATCATTCACTGGTTCGTGGATCGAATCTCACCCAATTAAACATTCCTTTCATGAGTAGCTTAGATGGAGGGGAACGTAAGGAACTGACCTGAAAACCTTTGGTCATTGAGGACGATCGTTTGGTGACATCGTACGAAGTGTCAAAGTGTGGGTTATTGCGTCCGAAATTAAGGTAGACTTGGTAATTGGTCGGCTATTAGCGAGGAGATCATGGTGTGCTGACAGCTTTCAAAAAGCACACCATAAGTTAGGCTTATGGGTGGAGTGCGATGCACCAGTGTCCACTCTCATTGGACGGCTTTTCCCTTTACCTTTTCACCAGTAAATGAGCCTGGACACATTCAAGTGATTGGGCGGTTGTTCAAACCAGAGTCTTGTACATGGCTTATCTCGAAAATGTGGCTTCTTCATATAAATGTCCCTTTCTATTATTTGATCACTTGCGACATTTTTTCGTGTAAAAACAAAATGCATATACAAAGCGATGACCGTAAGAGACGGCAAACCGCCCTCTGAGATCAAGTAGAGTTTCAAGGAATTAGACAGGATTTTCTCCTGTATGCAAGGGATTTGAAATGGAACTTGTTTGGGTGTTTCCTTCTGCGTTCTCTCCCTGTAGCTGGTTTTGCGTCCAAAAAAATGAAATTCAAGTTTTTTTTCCGGCTCCCCTTCCTTTTGGTTTTCTTTTAGAAAGCGAAAAGTTCGCCCCCGCACTTTTTGGCTATCACACAAGATTGTTTTTCCCTGTAGTTTACTTCACCGTGGGTTTTCTGAGTGTGTAAAAAGAAACCTTGGATCGTTCATTCAATAATTTAAGAAAAAAATAACACCTTCCCCTCCCCCTTCCGTTCCACTCCTTGCCCGCACCCAACCGGCTATGTTCGCGTGTTCTTTTTGCATTTCGCCGTTCATGACACGCTGAGTTCCATCCTTCTGAATCTGGATAAGGTTCTGGCAGTGCTCTGCTGGGATCTCGCAATTTTGCCGAGAAGTACTATTACCGATGACAGGGCAGAGATCTGACTTAAAAGCTCGCCTTAATTGCAGTCCAATTTACAGGAAGTGATGGTTTGAGATTAGATTGGTGGCTGTTTCAATGCCAAGGGGATTTAAGCTTATGCTTTACTGACGGGGGTCAGGAACCCTGGAGGGAAATGGAAATTGGCTCACGCCTCCAATGGATCTCTTCTTCCCGGCTAAGCTTGGCTCCGTTTTTTGACTGAAAGACATGTTTTACTCCGTTCACATCGATCGGCATCATAATGCGCCCCGCATACTGCGACTAGCGCCAATGTGCAAATCGAAGGTGACTGGAAACAGGTGCTCATCACTAGTTTCTTTTTTTCTCTGAGTTGAAAGAATTGAATTTTAGCGATTCCCACAGGAATTGTGGCGAATTTCTGGGGAGTGTTCAATCAGACAGAAACTCCTTAGTTCTCTCAGCCTGCGAGTATTGGAGCTCGTCACATTGCCGAGGCTCCTCGTCAGTTCAGTGGTACCGGTTCTTCACAAGTGGCCACTTACGGTAGCCCGTCATAAGTGGCGTGGAACTCATTGAGCTGAGAGGAGGTTTAAGGAGTTCTCTAGCGCAAAAAGTCAAAAAAATACTAGTCAACGAAAGATCTTTCTGCGGTATGAAGGCGGAATGGTTCCAAAAGGGGGAAGAGTCGAAAAAGCAGTAGTGTTACTCATTGGGTAAACAAATTACAGCGGAATAATGGAGCCAAGTGAATCTGAACCACATTTCGACGTAAAGTGGAAGCCTTCGAGATAATGCGTAAAAGCCGTAGAGTATTTATCGGTTTTCTAGAGGGAGCTCAATCCATAAAAGTGGACTGGTCTTGAAAAAATCATGAGAAATCATGTTGTCAGCCATTTGTGTGAATTTTATACACGGTTGACTGACCAGCGGCTATTTCCCTCGTCGTGGTTAGTGGGACTGCATAATGGGTCTGCGTGTTCACAAATTCATAAGTCACCTGATAATAGCTTTTCACTGAATGTCCGCGCAATCATTTATGGATATATTTTAGCGAGCAGAAGGAGCTCCTGAAAATTGGTTGAAAAAATTGCTAGTCTGTCATATGCCTAGGGTGCGGTTGAAGGCCGATCCTTCCCGACCAATCGAGCCAATCATGAGCTTGTTGAAATTTATAGAATATTTCGAGCTCATGGCGCGTACCGGAAAAATTCGTCGGCGTTACACTTTTCTTATCATTTTTGTCCATCATTCTCCGGCTCTTTCTGTGCAAAATGAGCCGAAAAAGGGCAAAAATAGCCTAAAGTGAAGTATGTTCAACGAGATAGGGTACTCAGTGGAAAGCAGAATCATCTCATTGCCCACAGAAGGCTATTTTTGCCCTTTTCCGTTTCAGTTCACCTCCTCTCATTCTTCGACTAGGCTAGAATGACATAGTTTTAGCACTACAAATTCCTCCCATCTACGTGCTAATAGCCTTATAAGCATAGTCTCCCGGCTGTTCCAACGAACTCCGTTCCCCATGTGGGATAGCACAATGGGTGAAGAGGGTTGTAAATTGTCACCTCTCTACTCGATTGCTTACAATTCATTGCAGACAACCCCTCACGCCAGCTGGTTCTTGAGTCCGAATTTTTCGCATAAAAACAATTGCTCTGAAATATCAACCAACGAAGTGAGTCATTGGTTGCACTATCAAGCGCCTCTACGATCTGAGAGATGCTCGAATTCGCGGCTCACTCAAAAAAAATTGTTGATTGCCAAGACGTTTATCAGACCTTTCCTTTCCATTTTAGCACAACTACTTAATCGCTACATGTTCATAGAGACACGAAAGCGAACTTTAGGCGTTTTCGGCCAGCACATCCTTTCTGCTTTATTACCACTTACAACTGCGCTAGTTGCAGGCTGTTTCACAGGCGAACTCGGGCCAGCTAAAACTCAATCAAGTTGAACTTTTTGCAAAAGTGCAGAGAAGTTCTGCTGTCGCAAAACTTCTTATAGTTCCCCTGTGTTATTGTAACCTGTACGAGTTCACATAGCGCTAAAGATAACTCGCCGTCAAAGAAGACAAGTGTAGCAAGGCAATGACTCCTTTTTTGGACCTCTCCGGGCCATGTTTGCTCCAACAGATAGGTATTAGAATAACTTTCGCTCACCCACTGCCTGGGAAAATAACCTTGATCTTTGGTGGGAACTATAGCCTCAGAACTCTAGCAAATAGTCGGAGTAAAAAGTGAAGAACCAGTTCCCTGGCTGTACCTCATCGCACAACCGAAACTTCTCGAATCAATCAATATGTATGTTTTTAAATTGAAAGAGCTCGAATAAATTTAGGTGAAATCCCTCTGCATTGGGCGGCTCGAAGTGGTCACGCGAACGTCGTCGCAGTGCTGGCCAACGAGCGCGTAAACGTGAACGCCTTGAATAAGGTGAGTCCTTCTTGACCTTCACTCAGGCCAAGTATGGCCTCCCCTGTCAGTATCGGCCCATGGATGGCTATTGAGAGGTCAAAAAAGCTGTGGTTCATTCAGAAAGGGGAATCATCTTTGTTGATCGCTTCTCGTCATGGTCATCACGACGTCGTCCATGTACTCCTGGAGCGAGGCGCTTGCTCCAGTATCCAAGACCAGGTAAGTGCTAATCGCAGGCAGCAGTACTGCCCGAAGTACCAGAAGTCAATTGAATTGACCTGGTTGTAGTTTGGTGATACGCCGTTGCATTGTGCTGCTTCGCTGGGTCATACTCGTCTGCTTCGCTTACTCTGCTCGTCCAAACTGCCACCACCGCTTCTGCTCAGAAATCAGGTATCTAACCAGCCTGAGCTCAGCACTGCGCTATTGCCAGTTCATCCATCACCGTATGAAATTGCACCAGCACTACCCTTGCCGGGCCAATTTTCATGCATTTAAATAACCTTTTTACCCATGCCTTTTTATGCATTTCAATCAACCTCAAGCCAGCCAGCCACTCACCGGCTGTTACCGATTCCAGCCAGTGTATACCCTTGACAACCAGTTCTCTAGGTTCTCTGTACCCTCGCTGCTGTCGACATTTGACTTCTTGGTATGGCCTGCAGCCGAGGACGGCGGCACCCATCTCCAAGCCCCCGGGGAGGTGTCAGAGATCGATACCCGGGAGAGGGCAACTGGCGCATGTATCCATGGTCGATTATTCGCTTCTGTAGCTTCGACTCGATTCGTTGTCGCCCCGCCCCGTCAGCGCCCGAGCACCCCGGACCATGGCCCCGCCTCCACTCGGTGGCCCCGCCTCACCTGCCATAGACTGGAGCGTTGCCAAGTCCGTTGTGTCCTCACCTGCGCTCCAATCCCAAATCGATCGTCGTGGTCGCGATTTCATAACCCCTCGCCAGGCTCACTGCTGTCGCCTTGCGCCTTGTGTCCGATTCCGCCGTCAAAATTTACAGCTCCTATCGTGCTGCTATGGTGACTTCTGAAGGTCACGGTGAAGAGTCAACGACGACTCCTCGAGCACCTGACGAGCCGACGTTGAAAGCGAAGGATTTCGAGAAGATGAAGAAGCTAGGCGTCGACGAGGACGAGGAGGACGACGACGAGCTGCATGAGAGCCACCAGTCCACCACCTCCTCACATTCTTCCGGCGATGGCGACGTGGACTCTTCGTCAGGTGACGAGACCGACGATGAAGAAGATCTGCCGGAGCAGTCGTTTCACGGAGTGCTGCCCGGGTCCGTGATCGCCGCCTACCTGGCCGATCCGGTTGCGAATCCAGCCGCTCAATCACTGTACACCATGACAGCTTCACGTGGCGCTCATTCGTTGTTCGCAACCGGTGGCGCCTACGAGGAAAGCCCTCGGCCTCGTGGCGCTGATCAGGTGTTGACCCTTCGTCAACCACCACATCTTGTCGACGAGAAACCCCGTAACTGTTATTCGGCTGCCACCCCGTCCACCAGCAATTTCATCTCACTAGTCACCGATTTTGACGCCTCGCTCGCTCATCCGTCTTGTTGCATGGTAACCAATTTCGTCACAGTTTTTTTCGTATCTGTTGTACTTTTCTGTGAGTGTGTACGTGTACAGAGGCGCACAGCGCCGATTTACCTCACTACTTACCAGTTTATTCATTCTGAGGTGCATGTACACACACGCACACCACGAGGTCGAGTAAAGTGGACAATTTCGTGCCGGCCACATATCGAGGTCAGCCCCATGTAACCGTGGCTGTTCAATCCAACACCATCACGCAAACTATCCCAATTTCATGCAATCTGTATCAAACTGCGTCCCGTTGGTCTAATTCCTGCGAGAAATGCATGATGACGTCCAGGGTATGGTGCCGTATTTATGGGACAAAGCTCTTTTCATTGGGATTTAACCGCCTGGCTAACTCGTTAATGTGTCGCCCATTTACCTGATCTTACCTGGCGGAATGAAATAACAATGCTCTGCGAATCTAGTAGAATTTCAACTGCCGCTGGTATGTCAGGGAAGGAGTTGGCGGTAATAGTGCACGGACTGAGCTAGAGAGAGTGTATGACAGATTGGTGCCATTGGGCTTGAGCGGTTAACTCCCACTTGGCAAGTAATTGCTGTACTACTGGTAGTAATTACTGTACTGTGTTGCCTTGACCCAAGTTTCTGGTAGTTTGTGGGACCTGGACGAGTACGTTGGCCCATTTAAGCGGATTTGATTTTTCGGAAACCCAAAAAGGCGAAATTATGAATTTACAGTAATAAGCCTAGACTTCCTAGCACGACACTTTCATATTTCAGTTGATCATTGCTTATAATATTTTGGATAGTTTACAGCAAGACAAACCCTTGGTATAGTGAGGTCTCGAAGAAGTTACGAGTTTAGTAGATGTTTCTCAATGCGAAACCCATTAGTAATAGTTGAACGATTTTTAGTTTGTTTTATTATTTTATTTTATTTTTTTTGTTTACAGGCGAGATAACCCTTGGGTTATAGTGAGGTCTCGAAGAAGTTAAGATTTAAGGTAGATGTTTCAAGTGCGAAAGCCCAAATTCTCTATATTTCTTCGTTTCCCCAATCCACGACTTAAGTAGTAATATTTGAACGAATTTTTACCGTTGCTGAATTAGTTTTACATATTTGTTTTGCACATCTATTCTAATTTTACATATTAGGTCTTATATAAATATGTGTGGCATAAAAAGTCTAGAAAAAACAATGATTCTGGAATAAATTTGAAATTCCCGGCTGGTTAATTGCCCCATCCGTGACGGGATAACGCCCCTAAGCTGACGGATACGAGAATTCTATAAAAGCTTCAGGGTTCATTCGGCCATAAATGACCCTAGCTTTCTGATTTTACCCGTCCAAGGCTCCCTCCGACAAAAAAGTATGTCCTCACAGTTTTTGGAGAGGTTGATGAAAACCCTATGGAAATCCTAGCCCAGAAAGCCCTCGAGAGCATAAATAGTCCATGTTGTTCCGCCGTGGCGGCAGGTGAATTCCATAGATTTTCCTGGTACCGGGTAACCAAGGCCAAATCGGCCGCTGGTTGACTGCCACACCAATTATGTCATTAGTTGGGCTTTAATTGCATCACAGGTCATAGCATAGTTTATAGCCACCTGGCTGGCACCAAAACGGGTTTCTGTGGATGGGCTTTGATGGGCAGTTGGGGCTTTCCGACAAACTTTGGCTTCTAAGCAGTTTTTCTTCTGTCGCCTAATTGTTCTCAGTAGGTAATAATAACAACAAAAGCTGCTGCGGCCAGTGTAGCTGTGGAATGTTCAAAAACCAAGCTTACCTTCGCAATTCAATTTCTCCGGTAATGTTGATAAGCCAGGGAAATCATGGAAAGTTACTACGGCGGCGCTCACAGAGGCTCGGAATACAAATATAAAGAACTCGAGTATTTGTCTCCCACGGCGGGAGTCGTAATTGTAGATTTACCCGACCACGCGTTGCTATCAGATAGCATCAAGAGCGTCAGAAGCACTCATGATATTGATTTTTTCAAAGCCTTCTCCAAGTGTGTTACTGTATTTGCACTTATAACATGCCTAGACGCGAGAAGCAACTTCTACGCGAAGCTCCTACTTATTTTATTTGCCCCTTAGTTAACCTATATTTATTTACTTAGGTTACAGCCCATACATGTGCTATGCGATTGAAAATGCAACTTCGTCTACCAGTATACAGCAAACTTATCCTCCTGCCTACATAGCTCCATTGAATTCCTTAGTGAAATCCTGGGCCTGAATGAAATCAATAGAATACGAAGTTATTACGCTTAGTCAGCGAAGCTTTCCGATTTCTTGTAGTAATTACGCGAGTATGTGGGTCACCAGCGAGTTCTCCTCGTTTCACCAGAGTTTTTTTTCTTACGGTAACGGTCATCCCGCCGAAAAGCCATTACGCCGAGAAAATCGTGTTCCCAAGTGCCAATAAATCACGAGATTCTTCAGCATCAATAAATCATATACGCCCAGGATCCAATTGGGTGTGTGGTCCAGGGGTACAGTATACCGTCGACTTGGGCTTTTTCGTGAGCAACCCCATAACTACAGATGTGATGGTTCCAGTAAAAGACTTCCTCAAACATCTCTCGATCGCGGTTCAAAAAGAACGTGGAAGTTCAATGGAAACCGTTTCTTATTCGATTCCGTTCCACTGTATTGGCTGTAGGTGAAACGACAGAGGATCGAATGGCACCTTTTAATGAATAGCTCTCTGAAAAGTCAACTTTCGCGCTGCCTTTTCTGCTTTATGAACGTCGCACTCTACCACCCGGCCAGAAAAGTCCAACAAAAGTTGTCGATTTCACCTCTCGAAGAGAAAAATATTGGTTTTTCACAGTAATCATGGGAAAAGGGGTCCTTTGATACCCATAATTGGTAAACATGTGGGCGCTACTGCTTCCCTATTCAGACTTGATTTCTGCTGCTCTCGGTGCACAACCGAATATCGATCGATATCGATTATTGTCCAATTACTGTGAAAAACCAATATTTTTCCCTTGGAGAGGTGAAAATAGGTCGACTCTGTAAGGTAATAGTACCGGAACTGGGGACGGTAATCTAGTACTTGTTGACTGGGAAGCAGGGTTAACCTTGCTGGGAAGTTACCGAAAAGGAGGGGTCGTATTTGTGGTGTTTGGAAACAGGAGTCGTATTTTATGAAACGACTTTGAGTTTCTGGGGAGGGGGGGGGGAATGGAGAAATCGTTAGTTGAATGACCCTCTTTGCCCTCGTCCCACCCTGGAAGCACAGTAAGTGGGAAGGGCTGGGCTCTATTTTTCCTTCCTGCGATCGATTATCGATCGTTCTGGGACTTGATTAGCCACCCATTTCTACCTAGGCAACTAATGCTTCCGTGTTGATCCATCT